CGAAAAGCACCCAAAGGCCGAACTCTCGCACACGCCCATTTGAAAATTCCAATGAAGTTGACCCGTAAAGGTTGTCGCACATTTCCGTTCATCCCGAAAGCCTGAAGCCAAAAGCCGAAAATCCACCTCGAACGGAGTGGCGTGAAGCCGCTAGCAAAAAAAACAAAAACCAACCCCAAGAAATGGCGGCTTGGCTTTTGTTCGGGTTCTCGCTCCGCTTTATGGCAGAGGTTTTGTTTTTGGCGCAGACAAGCCACGAGGAGCAAAGACAAGCGCGCAAAGCAAAATCCGGCCGTAGTTGAGCAACGGGCAGAGCGGGGGCTCAAATGGGGCCCTCTCGCCGCTCACGTCCGCCCCATTTGTTGATGGGAAACGACGGGGCGTCGATGAGCAAAGACGTGCTTCACAGCTGCTCGACAAACGCTGGCTGGTGGACGCAGGTGGAAACAAAAACGAAAAACAGGAAAAGCTTCCCTTGCATGGCTTCGGCCGCAGCGTCATCGTCGTGTTGCAATGAGATTCACCGTCATCATCATTGGCAAGCGTGCGCGTAAGGGTGTGCGCGAGTGTGTGTGTGTGCGCGAGTGTGTGTGTGTGTGTGTGTGTGTGTGTGTGTGTGTGTGCGCGAGTGTGTGTGTGTGTGTGAGACTAACGCAAGGCAGGCTCCATAAAGGTAGCATTGTTAAGTTGCGTGCGAAGCTTGGTGTCCCCGCCCACCCCTGCAAACCTGGGCTCTTTTTTTTCTCCCTCTCGCACCTTCCCCTTTCTTTTCGCGACAGGTAAACATTTGATGTCCGCACGCGATCCTCAAAGAGGCTCCACCCTTTGTTCTCGGCGCTGGCTTCCTTTCAGCGCGCACACACGCACACACGGTTGGCTTCCCGCCCCATTCTTTCCGGCATTCCTGTCCTCAGTGACTCAGCACCTGTTTCCCTGAAGAGGTTTGCGAGGCCGCGGCTAAAAAGGGCCCGCTTTCACACGGGTCGTAACGCCGCCTCCGGCGCGGCCTCGGCCAACGGACGACCGCCCCCGGGATGCGCGGCGATCGATCGTCCCGCTGCGCCGCAGAGGACAAAACCAGCCGGCAGAAGAGATGATTTCAATCCGGGCACTGTCGCGTCTCCCGCGAACGCGAGCGGCGGCCCGATTAGCGGCCGGACCCGCTGAGGCGGGGCGCGGTGCGAACACAATCGCTTACTGTGGCCCCCTCCGCCCGCCGTCCCACGCGGGCCACCTTAAGCGACAAACGTTTGATTTGTCGCGGCGACAACAAGTCGCCTATTGTTGCGCCGGCCTTTCCGCTGCTCCGGAAAAGCCATTCCAACAAGATAATCTGTCTGCGTCCCGTCAATGCCGCGCTCCGTTGCGCCGCCGAGACAAAGGCCCCGTTTGACGGGGAATAGGAAGCCGTCGGCGCCGGCGCTCAAGGCGCTGCCGGGGAAACGAGCCGCGAGAGCCGTGATGTCATCTTCCCTCTTCCCCAGGGCGCGTTTTGCGGAGATCGCGCCGGCTTCCATCGGTCTCGGGAAGGTCGGCTCCGTCGTGCGCCACGTGTCCGTCCGTCACGCTTTCCGCTCCGCGCTTCGGCCTTTCGCCGGTTTCGCACGGGCGGCCCGAGACGTTTTTTCCCTCGTCGTTGGCCCGGTGCGAAGGCGCGAAAGTAGGCCGGCGGTGACCTGAAGTGGACCCGCCATTTTCTAGCCGAGGCATAAGTGGACCCGCCATTTTCTAGCTTCTGACGCAGGTGTCGCCGCCGGATTCTCCAACCGGCGCCGTCCTCCGCTTTGAATGCATCGCGCAGCCAGGGCCGCTTTGCCGAGGCAAAGCGGCGGCCGAAGAAAAGACGCGCGCGACGGTAGGGCGGCGCGCAGTTTGGCGGCAAGGCACTCCCGAGCCCCCTTGCGGACTCGGGGCTCGAGGGGGCGCAGAAGGAAGACTGCCCTCACAAAATCACTGCGGTGCCGGATCCGTGGCAGCCAGATGTTCGGAGTGTTCGAGCCAACCGGCTAACGAGAGGGCCGAAGGGGGGGAAAGGACGAGCCCAAAAAACCCCGAAACAATTGCCAAGAGAAAAGCGGAGCTGGCAAAACGCGTACGCGTCTTTGCTTCAGGGACGAAAGAGTCTCGCGCGTGTGCCTGCGATTCGGTCAAGCCAAATGGTCTCCAATTCGCTTGACGCATCAATGGATCGTTTGTGTTGAGAGCGCACATGTGAAACTGCTTGAAGGAAAGCGCGGACGCCAACTCTTGCGGCTCGCCGTATGGAGTCGCTTTGGCTGCCTTTGATGTGTGAGAACGGTATGCGGACGTCCAAGGGTGGGCTTTTTGTTTTTTTTTCCCTTCTTCTTCTTCTCTGTGCGTGCGTGTTTTTTTTTCACAGCTGCTGACTCACTCGACCGCAAGCTAGCGTGACAGCGGAGGCGGGTTTGCCAAACCCCTCCCGAGTCCTCCCGTCTCAGCGGAGACGCCGCCCGAGGCGGCGCACGACGAAGCCGTCGGACGGAAGCGTCGCCGCGTTTGGATGAGGGAGCCCCTTTTCCTCCACTGTGATTCCTATTTTGTCTTTGGTGACAAAAGTTCAACCCAGACGCTGCGCGCATCTGTTTGAGCCACACGGAGTCCAGATGGCAACTGATCCCGTACGAAGCCACGACCAAAGAAAAATCCGTTCCCTTGGCCCTCCTGAAAGTTGGCGGGTTGGAATGACCGTTCGCCGAGCTCCCGAACGCCGGTCGGGGCGGACCGGGACATCGGCCTCAGGGCCGGCTTCTCTGGAGATAAACAGCCCGCAAACGCCAACTTCCTCTTCAGACGAGAGCGCACGCGAGACTCCCGAAGAACATCGGGACCAGATTTTGGACTCACCAATGCGGAAATGAACAAGGTCAAGCTGTTGACACTGCGGCGAGCTGTCCTCCCGCATGTCAGGCCACTTGCGGAGGGGGACCCCCTGCGCTGTTTTCAGCCCCCTGCGGCCGCCTTCCCCCCCGCGACCGGGCCTCACGCGTCTCGCCGGCCGCCCCTCTTGGGCCGGGCGAGCTGAAGGCCCTCTTTGTACGCGCTCCCTGGGAGATATGAACCCCCCCGTCCCCGCGCTCCCGCCGCACAAAGGAGGCACTTACTAACCGCTAAAGCCTCAACAAACGGCGCCTTTCAGATGAACCCTGCACCGTGCCTTGCGGAGGAAAAGGGGCCGGAGAGGAGGAAGCCCACAACCTTTGCTTTGCTTTTGTCGAGGGCAGAGACCCTCGTCGTGACCCGCCGTCCTCCAATCCGATGAGGAGGGGCTTCCCATGAGGCTCTCGTGTGGCACGAATCCGCGGGTAGAGGAGGAATCGATTGAAAGAATGGATGGATGATGGGTTTGCGAATGGGTATCGGGCCACCAAACAGAAGATGGATTCCATTTGGGGTGAGCGACTGCATTCTTTTCAAATTTGGCCCCGAGGCACAAGGTCATTGAAAATCAACATTGGAGCCCCCCCCCCGCGTCGATGTTCTCTTGCGGTCTTCCAAAAACAAGGGCGTGGGACGACTTTCGCTGATTGTACGCATCAGGTGGAAACACCCCCGCTTGCGTCCGCTGGCACTGGGACCAAGCGGGGGTCCCCATCAGATGCCGTCCCCGAGGCGTTGGGGCCAAGCGCTAGGAAAGCGGGGACGCGAGCGGCCGCGCTCCGAGGCGCCGGGAACCTCTTCCCGCATCTGCCTTTTCCACCCATCAATGAGGCTTTGTCTGCCGGGGCGCCAGATCCGCAGCTCCCATTTGGCATCCCTGCGCCGTCTCTAATCGCAAGCAGATGAGCGGCCGACTTGCGCTCCGCGCTGCTCGTCTGAATGACGTCACAGCAAGGGTTCACGGCACTTTTATGCAAAACGGAGGCTGCCGCGGAAAAGAGGCCCGCTCCATGCATCTACGTCTCTCAGGTGCGCGTGCGTGTGGGCGTCTTTATCAGTCAAGTCCAAAGGAAGACGGCTTCGGCAGCCGCGACGCGTCATAAATCACCTCAACAAAGGAACGCTTTGTCCTCCGCGCGAGAGGGCGAGCCGGAGCGGAACATTTTGAGCAAACACGCAGGCCGCCGGGGAACTTGGAGAGCTCAAGCCTGCTTGAAAGTCGCGCTCGACGGCGGCTGCCTTCCACTGGCTCGGAGAATTCTTGCCGGGGGCAGATGGACATCGGGGCCCTCCCGCCAAAATAGTGGCAACGGTGAAGATGAAGATCTCGTGCCCGGAGTTGAATTTGTTTCACCGGCGTGAAAAACAAAACCCAGTCATCAGAGACAGAAAGCGCCACCGGAGACACGATCGCTCGGGCGGCTCGCGTGATAAAACCCCAAACGACCCAACGTCCGACCGAATGAGCGGAATGGGAACAAGGCGACGGGCCGGCGCGACACGCCGCCAACTCGGAGAGAACTTTCTCCAGCTTTTTGGCCACAGCGCGGCTTCTCAAGCTTTTCGAGGAAAGCCGGGAGCAGAGAGCGCTTCAGAAGACAAGAGAATGTCCAAAGTTTGCTCACGTGCCAGATTCCGAACGGCCAGTGCTTCAAGTTCCGCAGCCGCACATCGGTAGGCCATTTCTTTGAAGCGGACACGGCCGGATGGAACCTCGCTCCGCGGGAGGGACGCAGTCGCCGAGGCGCACGCGCATTAGGCGCCGCGGCGACTGCAGTGCAGGAGGCGAGGACGGCGAACGCCACGAGCGCCGAGGGACGACTCCAAAGCACGCGTGCTGCCGCACGGCCGCGTCCAATGTGACGTCCTCGCGATTGCGCCTTATGTCGAGCGCGGCGTTTCTCGCACCGCAGTGCGACAGGCGCCGGCCGACGCGGCGTTTCCATGGAGAAGTTCCCGCCTGACGGGGCTCGGGGCTGCCACGGGGGGCCTTGCGCGCGCGCCGCGAAAGCTGCATCGCACAACACGGACCGCGGCGGGATTCCACTCAGGCGCGCGGTCACGCGGTGGCTACGACGCGACATGTGAACAGAAAAAAAAAAAAAAGTGAGCGTCCTTTTAATCAGCACCATCATCATCATCATCATCATCTCAACAATTCCACAAGAATGAAAGTAGCATAGACGTCCAAAAACATTCCCAGTAACGACAAGGGACATATGAAAAGTCTTTTGAAAAATCAAACCAAAGTAGTAAACAAGGGAGATTTGTCCACGAGTGCTCAAAAAGAAAATGAATTCCCTGCCAATGAGCAGATTTGAAAACGTCGCAGGTCCAAAGGGTTTCCATGGTAACGCCGGCCTTTGCAACAGGCCTGGCGGGCAAGCGCCCCCCCCACCCCCCAAATCAAATCAAATCGAGATCCATTCCAAATGATATGATAGCCATACAAATGCTCCAGCCAAGTTCTTGATACATGGATGGACTTTTTTTTCCCCCTCATCGTGCTCAGAGTTGAATGTTTTCCTTTTTTTTGCTTTCCCATGATGCATAATGGCAGCCTTTGGAGTTAAATGCTTGGTCAGATGAGACGACAGCACCGCGGCAGCTTGTTTTCCCCCCCCCGCCCCTTTAGGGGGTGTCCGAAAACTGTCCTAAGATGCGCCCAGAGGTGACGACTCTTGATCCTCTTCATTTGCTTTTGTCAAGTAGATGCCAAGAAGTAGCTCAGTGCTTGATTTGTTGTTGAAAGCATGCATGTCATATGCCGGTTTTTCTTTTTTTTTCTTTTTAAGTCTGTCAGGTAGTTCGTGTGTGTGTGTGTGTGTGTGTGTGGTTGCCAACCGTCCATCAGCGGTTCTTCGTGGTCAGCGGAGAGGAGGGCCCGACAACTACTCGTACTCCAGGAACTGTTTGTGGTAGAATAAGAGATACCTACAAAGGCGGGGTCGGCAGGGTCCAAGACAGAAAAACAAAGAGAAATTAGGAGACGTATCGTCTTCCAGAACAATTTTGCACGTCAATGAAAAGGAGGCGTTTTGGTGGTGCGACTGCGGAGCAGCGACGTATTCTTGCTTTGCTGTCACATCTCAATTCTTTTCCTTATTTTTTTATTTACCTCATTTGGTGGGGGGGGGGGGGCAACAATTTCAAAATATGCGAGAAATGATCCATTTTCTAAGCCAGTGCAGACGACCGCTTCTTCTTTCATCTATCGGCGGATCCCCGTTGATTCCGACTTGCAAAGCAACGTGAGGAGGAGGACTCCGATTAGCGAGATTGGCGCACGTTTCCGCCGCGGCTGATGCCATCAATTTGCCGGCGGGCCCGTCTCTGTGCGTCCCGGCGCCAAATGGGACCCCCGCTCTAAACGATTGCACAAAGCTCACCGCTCGCTCGGCGCCGGTGACGCGACTCATTTGAAAGGCTCACAGACAGGAAAGCCATCAAGACGCTCAAGCGTAGAGGCCAGTGGGCGCGCGAGGCCTCTCTGTGGGCGCGCGAGGCCTCTCTTCAACGCTGCCCCCCCCCTCCCCCCAGCCGCCTCCTTTCAAAAGCTCTGCATGTCAGCGACCTTTGCGTCGGGACGCGAGTGCAATCGCTCATCGCCCCGGCACGCGCAAGACAGCGGAAGTCAACCATTGGGTCGTCCTCGTGTACTGTACATTGCGGTTTCAGAGCGAGGGCTGGAGAAAAGCGGCGGAGGTGCTGCGCTCTCACCCTTCGCTATCGAGCACGTCCTTCATGCTGGCCTTGGTGATGACGGCGTCGTCGCATTTGAACCACTGGTCCTTGTGCTGGCGGATGAAGCTTGTGTAGTGGCCGCTCTCCAACGTGCCCTGGTGGTTGACCACCGCGAACAAGGAATACCTGCACACGAAAGCACGGGCTTTGGGCTTTGCTTTTGTCCCCCCCGAAGCATGCGCCCCACGTCCCCAATCGCGTCTCCGTCGACCTTGTGAGCTCAGTACCATTGCCAGGCGGGGAACCCCAAAGCGCTCGGCTCGTTTCAACTCCCTCGCAAGGCAACACGGCAGCGCCCGCGCCAAAGCGCGTCGGCGGTCTCTCCGGAAGACCCCGGTGCTGTGGGTCGCAGCACTTGAGTCGGAGCGCAAGCGTGCCAGCGGAAAGTCTCTCCGGAGAGGCCGACGGCACCTTCAAAGTCTTAGCGTGGCCGGCGCTCGCTGGACTGAAGGAGCAATCGTCACTCTCCGATATTTCGCCCACTTTGTGAAGATGGCGGACGTCCCGCTCTGCCCTCATTGTACAAATGGTGACGGAAAAACGCACTCGACTTATTGCTTACTCATCTGAGTCTGATGGGGTGGGGGGGTTTCCTCCTTCATTTTCTTCCCAAAGCTGCACTTTTTAACGCCGTCATCCGTCAATGATTATTCAGGGCCGGAGGGATTTTGAACTTGTGAACGGAACCGAGATGAAGATGCTTACTTATTGTCGTTGTTTAGCACGTCCGCCGCTTGTTGATACTGCCCATTCATTCTGCTCTCTTTGCTGTGGGAGACAAAAGACAGGAAGGGGATAACCTCGCGCACAGCAAAAAAGGAAAAACAACATGCAGCAGTGCCGCAGAACACCCACCGTGTGGCGCCATCGTTCAATGTGTGTTTATCGGGGGTGGTTTTTTTTTGGGGGGGGGGGGTCACGCGGCTCACAAGAGATGAATGGACTGCTCCGCCCACGGACCAAACCCTTCTTTGGGAGATGCGGGCAGCATCATTTCACAATATTTCTATGATGTTGATTGGAAAAACTGAACTGAGGAACTCCGAGTTGAGAATTGCGTACATACATCGGGTGGCCAAAGAGTGAGTGTGTGTGCGTGTGTGTAACAAAAAAGAGGCTAATGAAAGAAAAACATCCATCCATCCATCTTCTACCGCTTATCCGGGGCCGGGTCGCGGGGCAGCAGCTTTAGCAGGGAAGCCCAGACTTCCCTTTCCCCAGCTACTTCTTCCAGCTCTCCACAGGGGATCCCGAGGCGTTCCCAGGCCAGCTGGGTGACATAGTCTCTCCAGCGTGTCCCGGGTCGTCCTCGGGGTCTCCTCCCGGTGGGACATGCCCGGAACACCTCACCAGGGAGGCGTCCAGGAGGCATCCGAATCAGATGCCCGAGCCACCTCATCTGGCTCCTCTCGATGTGGAGGAGAAGCGGCTCGACTCTGAGCCCCTCCCGGATGACGAGCTTCTCACCTTATCTCTAAGGGAGAGCCCCGACACCCTGCGGAGAAAACTCATTTCGGACGCTTGTATCCGGGATCTCGTTCTTTCGGTCGCGAGCCATAGCTCGTGACCATAGATGAGGAGGGTTAGAACGTAGATCGACCGGTAAATTGAGAGCTTCGCCCTTCGGCTCAGCTCCTTCTTTACCACGACAGACCGATACAACGTCCGCGAATGAAAAACAAACAAAGCAAAAAGAGGATCTTTCGACAGAAAAGCGTTCTTTGCTGTCATCATAGGAAGAGTCATATTGTCTGTTTCAGGATGAATGCAAAACAAAGGGCTCGTTGGCATTGTGCGTGTTGTTCTTGCGCCCACCTGGATGCCATGAAGGGTGTCATGTCCAGCTCGAGAGGAAACGACACGTAGGTGGTGATCTTGCGCCGCAGTTTGGCAGAGTGCTCGAACCGCTGGAGAGGACGGGATGCATGACGGAGGGGGAAGGGCAGGGGTGAGGAAACGCCACGCGTCAACATATCACGAGCCGAGAAATAAAACGCGGCCACCGAGGGAGCGCCGCGCCGGCGGCCAACGTCAGACCCGCTGCGGAACAACACAAATGGATCCGACGACGGACGGACGGACGGAGAAGGTGCGGTCGGCCTTTTGGCCGAAGACTCACTTTGAGATGGAAACAGGCCACGATGGGCAGCCTCTTCATCGTCAGCTGCTTGGTGGACTCCTGGTAACTGTGGCAACCACCGCACTTGATTTTGGCGCCGCTTCCGAGATGCTCGGGCCGCGTGAACCTGCGGAAGCGTCACGGAAAAGGGGCTTAGAAATCGCCGTTCCGCCGTGCGTTGGCGGCGCGCGGTTGCCGAGGGCCCTCCATCGCCGCGGCAACCGGCCCCGGCACCTTGAACGGACGTTGCTGCGGCGTCTCAGAGGGTGCCGCCGCAAAGTCAGAGAAGAAGAGGAGGCCACGAGGGGGAGGCAAAAGCCGGACAGTAAGCCGAGAAGATGAGGAGAAGGGAAAAGACGCTGCCCAGAGGGACGACGATAGCGGCGCTTCGAAGGCCACTCCGCTCGACTGGACGCAAGCTATATGTATGTATAGCTGATGGATGGCGACGTCTCACAAATGATCCTCAAGTCACCGTTTGAAAAAAGGTCACCTGACCCCAGTTTGGGTTTTTTTTTTGCTTCTGAATGTGGCGATTGGGCCACTTAACTGCAGAGATTCTGTGGGATCGAGGGCTGCACCAAAAAAAACAAACAATGGAGAACTGCTTTCTTGCCTGGCGTTTCAAAAAGCGGAGCAATTTGAAAGTGGCCCTTTCATCCTTCCGTTTTTCTGTCGACGGCCCTTCAACGAAAACGTTTGGCCGCCTCTGCTCGAAAAGGACCAAGAAGTCAAGTGCACCTGCGTAGGCAGTCGGTGAGCGTAGTGGAGCCCGACGGGTGGCATTCTCCGTTGACCGTTGTGCCGCCGCCGCCGCCGCCTCCGGGACTGAGGGGCCAGAACGGCGTGGACGAGCCAGGCAGGTCCAAGCTGATGTCCCAGAAGGGATCTATCGTCGTGGAAACGCCGCTGCGCCGGTGGAGACAAAGGACATTCATCTTGGAGAAGTGCGCGTATGGAGCGCCGTCCCACATTACGAGTCCGAATGACACGAGAGGTCATAACACGAGCCTTCAACGGCGTTCAGCTTTTTGCTTTGAGCGGGCATGCCCGGTACTGTTGACGGGGGCCGGGCAAAATGTGGAGGCGGGCTGTCGTTCGGAGACCGCCGCTATGGGGACTGGCCCCATGTAAAATGGAGGAGAGGTGACGTGGAAATGAATGACTGGTTGCGACCCACTGCTCCGCTCCGCACTTACTGGCAAACCTGACAGGTCACGTCCGACTGGAGCCCGCCAGTGAAAATTTGGTCGATGATGCAGTTACAGTGGTTGGGATTGTTGGCCTTCTTTCCGTTGTCGTTCTCTCCTGCGGAACACAGCGAGGCGCGGGCTTGAAAGGCAAATAACGCACACTTTTACGCCTCCCGAAACTTTTGCTGGTGGTTGTTTTTGTCATCAATTATTTGTTGAACCATTTTAGGACTCCTTCCGCAACAAACAAAAATGCCATAAGATGTCACCAGAGCCCTGGCTAACCGCAAAGTAGTGATTGGTGTCAGGGAATTATGATAAGGTGATGTGAAGAAAGAACTTTACGTTGCAATTTCATTTCTGGGGGTTTAGTGTGTTTCGTTTTTGTACGTTTAATGTGTTGGATGTCTGGGGTTTTAAATGCTTTGATTTTTTTTTTTTTTTTCATGCTCTGGACTACAGATGCTGAACAGCTGATTAGCTATTTTGCTTCCGAGATACTTTTACCCCCATCTACCTACCGAAAGACATCTTTGACAAATATATACACGTCTCTGGCAGTAAACTGTTGGCTTCCAGCTCACGACCATCAAACGTCCGCAGCAGTGAGCGAGTTCATCGGGAAACGTCCCGCCGGATGCCAAGCTTACTGATGGCGTCCCCTTTGCAGTGCCGGTGTAGAACGTCCAGCGCGGCGATGAGGAACTCGTGGGCGTCCTGCTGCTCGTAACCGGCCAGGTGGCGCGCGTGCGTCCACACCAGGTGGAGCAGCCGGAAGGGAACGTGAGGCGAACGGTGGCCCGAGTAGAACTGCAAACAAGAAGTGATCCCATCAAGCTCTGTCTCCACGCCGGTGGAACATTCCGCGGAATCTTTGAGTGCACGTCGATACAAAGGCTGCGCTCGGCGCCGCACGTCTGCTTTCAACTGGAGATCCATTCGTCCACTTTCCATTCGGCTTATCCTTCACTGTGGAACTTTTCTTTGAATTTTGACTTCCGCTGTCCCGTCATGCGTTGCTGAAACATGCGAGTGAGCGTGTCTTTTGTATGACGGAGGCACAGTTTTAACGCTTAGTCGTGTCTGCTGCCGCCGCGGGCCACGCCGCGGGAGGTGAGCAAGTACGGCTAGAGAATTTGAGATTGTGAACCACGAGACTTTGGAATACGCAAACGGTCGCTGGCTAAACGCTGACGCGCAACAAAGAACGTCATTGCTAAGGAGCGCGGTGACCTGAGCGGCAAAGTGGAGACGCGTGGCTAGCATGCGGCTCATGTGGCGTCCTACCTCCTGAAAGAGCTGCGACATCTCGCACACCAGACAGGAGTTGGACTGCATCTCGCACTTGTGCCTGTCGGAGAGGAAGAAGTCCCGCAGCAGCGGCGTGTGCGTGAGGGCCTGCACGATGCAGTTCATGAAACACGTGTTGCCCAGATTTATTAACCCTCGTAAACCTGCGGGGACACAACAGTGGGGGGGGTGGGAAACAAAACAAGCAAGGCGCACAATTTGAAGCCAACACCCGTTGCGTGTCGGGGGCCCGGCTACGAGGGAAGGGCGGCGGCTTTGTCCGAACGCCCGGGACGGACGTTTGACTGCCGGCTGAGCTGCGGGAAGCCCGCAGGGGAAGCCGAAGCCGCCGACGGGTCGGCGAGTGACACGCGGCCAGCCGTTGGCTTGAATCCAACCGACCCGGCGGCGGGGGTTTATTTTTGGTAAGACTGTGCTCAGCGTGCGATTAAAGCGCGCCGGTCGCCGAAGCGCGGCCGGGCCCGCCGCGCCGCACGCAGCCTTTAGGGACATTCAAACACGGCCCACCTATGGTACAGTTCGTAGTGATTCTCCTCCGCTTCGGATTGTGTCGTAAGAGCTCCAGCTCTCGCTTGCTGGGCTCCCACGTTGTGTATTTCTCGCCTACGCCTGTCGAAGGAAAAAAGAGTCAGATGGCGGCCCCGTTGGGTGAACAAAAGAAAAAAACTACAAAGGACCACTTTGGTCACTTTCTGACCCACCAAAAGAATTCCGAGAAAATTGCTCAAGAAAACTGTTGGAAATGACTAACAGACAGCGGCAGTATTCCCCCCCC